AAAAATACATTAATAGGAATTAAAACAAATTAGTCCTATTTTGGAATTTCAAACTTCATTTACTCCTATTTTGGGAAATCTCCCTAATAAATACTACCTCTGTCCCATAAAATTCTTCCCACTTTGACTTGGCACGGAGATTAAGAAAGTAGAATAAAGTGGAAATGTATGGTTGTGGTTGTGTAAGAAAAAAGTGAAATGAATGTGAACCACACAAATTGTTCAAAAATGGTAAGTGGAAAGAATTTTTTGGGACGACCCAAAAAGGAAAGTGAGAAGAATTTTATGGGACGGAGGGAGTATCATTTTTTAGGGATCGAGATTTGTTATCTTAAGTTCTTAACAATTAACAATCTAAAGCGATGGTCACTTTTAATTGAAGGGAGTCAATAAAACGGGGCGCCAATTTTACATATTTTAATGCATTGTTCCAAAAGTTGGAATATTCCACTGAGGAGCCCCACGTCCCGACCCGACAATATTTTTTGGAAAGATGTAAGTCACGGTGATTCAGTCGATCCAATAACGGTAGGCCTTATACTCGTGCCCATCAGAGGTTCGGTCCAACATGCACGCAGGAGCTGTAACCTCCACACGACCGCTGCGGGTTTCGAACCTTGGTCATTCTTCCAAATTTCTCAACACCGAACCAAAATCACCGATTGATCGAGTTACCCATCCGGGTTACAAATTTTAATTCATGAGAACTGAGAAGGTGAGTGTTTTAGTATCGGTCCAGGGAAGGATTTACGTTTACATAATAATGGGATGAACCTCAAAGCTGAATTTTTAATTAGTGTAATTTTTTCATTTTTCATATTTAGTTCACTTTTTCAGCCAATTTGAACCTTCATTTCTAGATCCCCGTGAATGACATTCCCTTTGATGTAGCATACTCGATCAAGGACAACGTTCTTGCTCCATGACAAAGAGGAAAGCTTTTCTCATCACATGCTTAGCTTTCACATTTGTAGTTAATTCCATTCATCATTGTTCACGTAATTTGTTTTTATCCCTACTTTAGCCTAAGCTCTCTTTTTTTATGTTAAGTCGTCTATAATAATCTCAAATTCATGGATCATTAGTGATCATCTTAGCGACATAGGCATATATGAATCTTATTATCGGAAAAGATAATGATACTCTTATTCGAAACAATTTACGTACTCTGATCCTCTATTGTTACTGTTTTAGCACAAATTTACCGATGATTTCGTGTCAAATAACTTGTGTTAAAGTGTTTTTGGTATATCACTGTCAAATCTTCTATGAATTACGGTGAATCCCTGCCAAGAGAATCTGTTTTTTTGTAAGGGGGCCATTGCAAATCCTCCAATGAAACAGAACCATTCAAGTAGAGCTAGAGCGCGCATGTGTAGTTTGTGTACTAAACAGAATTAGGAAGTGTGTTACTCGATACTTTATTTCTCAGTATAGTCCTTGCCATCTACCAAACAACGATATAGAAGTAATATTTTTTCAACGCACACATGTTTTCTAACAATGTGTCCTGTATAATGGTGTAAATATTTAGTCACATTTTTATTTGCAATTTTCATTCCGTAACTTTCGGCAATTTTCATTATTAGACTCGTAACTTTAGTCACTTGCAAATTTGGTCCTGTAAATATTTAATATTTGTGATTTAATGACTTTTTCCCTGAAAAGTGTTCTTGCCGGCAATAGTATACCGGAAAAGAGTTACCGTCATCGGATTTTTCTGCTGGAAAGTGTACTTTTCGGTTGAAAAATCATTAAATTGCAAAGATTTATTAGTTAGATGACCAAATTTGCAAGTGATTATGGTTACATGATCAATAACAATAACAACCGAGAGATACAGGACTAAATTGCAAATCTCCATTTTTATTACGCCCCCAAGTTTCAAGTCAACTCTATCTTTTAGCACTATTGAGCAATTTGTGCTAAGTTTATCACTTAAAAGTTAAAACTTTGACACCAACATTATGTATTTGGAAAAGAAAATAATTAATTAAACTTACACGGCCAATGGCTTCCCACAATGAGGAGTTGAAGGAGGCGGCGGTGGTGATGACCTGCGGGAAGCTGGTGGCTGCCGGGAACGCCCCGCCGAACGTGGTGCCCGGGCCCACATTGGAGACCCCGTGTAGCGCCTCGCTCCACCACTCGTACCGCTTGATTCCCAACCGCTCCACCGGGGCGGCGTTATTCACGAGCAGCCTGATTTTCTCCTGCAACGTCAGCCGCCCGATCAAGTCCCGGACCCGGACGTGTATCGGCAGCTTTGTCTGACAAAACCGCAGCGACCTTGTGGAGGCATTAGAAGGATCACACGCTAGTGATGGGGTTGCAGATATTGATGTTTGTAAATGTAAGCACCCAAAGAATATAAAGAAGAAGAAGAACATCAAAGTCTCTTTAATATTCATGAATCCCGGCCCGTAATATCACCAATGGCGCAGCTAGTGTGTTAGTATTTTATTCCAATAGTAGTTGATCATGAAAGCCTATGCGGCTGAACTAAGGATCCATGATGAAAAGGCTCTTTTATAGTACGTAGTATGTGTGTCTGTTAGGGGTGGGCACAAAAAACCGTAACCGTTTAACCGTACCGAAAAACCGGAAACCGGTGTCTTTTTCGGTTAACTGTACCGGAATTTTTAAAACTCACGGTACGGTTAACCAACCGGGAGGGAAAAATGGTTAGCGGTACGGTTACGGTTTTGGAAATTATGTCACTGGTTAACCAGTAACCGTAGGATTATACGCAAACACTACACACGGACAATAAATTTCGACAAAGGTACGGGGACGGGAAAGTGAACACTTTGTATCATTTTTGGAATTTTGGTGTATGTATATTCACGTTCACGCATGCATAGTGGAATAATATACACACTTTACAATCAATTACTCCGTACATAAGCTACTGAAATGTATACATTTTCTTTAGTGCTATACGTATATAAATAGTATAATTAACCTAATAACCGTATAAATACATAGATATAGGAACATATAATATGGAAAAGTAGTAGTACACATGGAAAGATAATACGGTGTATACGGGCTAATTAAAGTTTCGGAGCCGGGGAGTTTTTTTTGGAAAAGTTTCTGCTATATAAAATTTCTAATTTAATCTTGAACTGCTTATGTATTTTTTAACAAATCAAATGTTTAATACGGAGTAGTTTGATGACTTTATTCTTTTCCTTTTCATGGTTTTTGGTTAACCAATTAGTGGTTAACCGATATTTTGGTTAACCGAGTATCGGTTAACCAATGTTACGGTACGGATAATGACATTAACACTATATTAACCAACATCACGGTTAACCGAAAATTGGTTAACCAAAGTGCGGTTAACCAATCATGCCCACCCCTAGTGTCTGTCACACTTCCACATCTCGTGTCTTACTACTCTTATTACATGTATTTTCAAGGGAGATTTATTTTAATTTCCAAAATAGGAGTAAATGGATTTTAATTTGTAATTTCAAATTAGGAGTACTATGTTTTTATTCCCGAAATATGACTAGCATGACAATATTTACTGACGCCTTATAGACGTGATTGCCCAATAGTTGTAGTACAATGTATTTAACATTACAATATTTATTATAATTAATGACAATATTTTTCAATCATGACAGGAACAACTCTTATTTCGGTAAGAAAAAACATAGTAGTCCTATTTTGGAATTTCAAACCTCATTTACTCCTATTTAAGGCAATTTCCGTATTTTTAAATAGTTCCAACATTCGAAATTTTATACTCCGTGTTATTCACATGTTCTACTTTGATTGTATTTTATTCGACTGCATTGAAAATTTATTTTTTTAAATAAATAAATAAATTATTCTCAACTTTTTAAAAAGATATAATCAGACAATTAAGTATATTAATGATCAAAGTAGTGTATTGGGACACGTGAAAATGAAAGTGTTGCAACTAAAAAAAGAATGCAGTATTGGACAATCTCCCGTCTTTAATGGTGGTTGACAATCATAAAGTTAACTCTTCTCTGACAATGTTTGAATTATTATTATTATTATTATTTGAAATATATATATTTAAAAGTACTCCAATATTAATAAAAGCATTTATTTTCCAATATTACTTGTCTTTTCCTTCCAAATAACTTTACTAATAATAGAAAGGATCATGAAAATGCATGCATGAATGTGGATGTAAACATGCATCACTCTAGAAAATAATATTTAGTCGTTTATTTGGAAAACAAGTCTCTTTTAGTAATATTAGAGAGTAATACTAGAGGTAATTTTCTCTAAAAAAGATTATCATTTCTTAGAGGAAGAAGATACAATTAAATACACCAAGGTTATATTTATATTAGAGAACAAATATACCAATCAAGATTCATTTGGAACAATTAAACACAAAAATTATAAAGTTAGAGCAAAACACGTTTTCCAAATGGTTAAGAGATATGTATGTTCTCTGGTATATAATTAAGGGGTATAAATGTTTTCTAATATGTGCATGTATGTGTGGTTCAAGGGTATATTTGTTCCAATTTTAAAAAAATATGTGTAGAATTGTTGCAAAAAAAATATGTGTAGAATTGTTGCAAAACGAAATAGTTGGATGGTATATTTGCTCTCACGCTTAAATTTCAAGGATATATTTGTTCCTACTCTCATTTTTAAACTTATGGACATTAATTCTGTATTCTAATGGACTTTTGTTGTGTACATATACAAGATTTTTTATTATGATGCATTCGATACATTATTTTCATTTAAAAAAGTCGTGATTATCACAACGTCACGACATATCTTGCTTAAAATTTGATCTTTTCCATCAATTTTCACACCAATGATCTAAATTAGTTCTCATTTTTCACTCAGAAACCCACTTTTTATTTGAACCAAATTATATATATGCATATATATATATATATTATGGAAAATAAATTATATATATACATATATATAAATACACACACAAGGGTGGAGCCAGCACACCAGTGGCGGAGCCACCTTGGTTCAAAGGTGTTCACATGAACACCTAGAATTTTGAAAAAAATGGTAGTATACACATATACTTTTAATTAAATTATTTATTGTCTTTTCAAATTTTAATTAAAAAAAAATTGAACACCCAAAGCTCAAAACGTAGATCCGCCACTGCAGCACACTGGGTTGGATTGGGCCTGTATAAATAATATTTTTGAGAAAAAAAAATACAAGGAGTATTGTACACTAAAAATATAGACATTTTTCAAATTTGGGATGACATGGACATTTTTTGCAATGAAGAAAAACTTTGATTTCACTATATTTTTCATCCACTTTAATGCATTTTAAGTGACATATTTAGAACTATATACGATGCTCGAAATTAATTCTTTTTTTTTTAAATTATTATTAGAATGATTCTTTTGATCCAAGCCATCTAATTCTAGTTATAGTAGTATTATATAGGCTAGAGCCCTGGCTAGAGAGTGTGGGGTTGATTGCATTTGGATATGAAAAGAACGTTGAGATAAGAGATTAATTGGCGGGCCGGATATGTATTAATTGTTTATATAATAAGACATATACAGCTCTTGCTGAGTTTGCAAGATATATATAATGTCGTGTTCATCCCTTCACGCAAAATAAAAATAAATAAAAAGATTACGGAGTATCTAATTAAGTATAAAAGAAGCCATATCATTATAGAATGATAAGTTATATAGTTAGCAACTACTGCACGCATTCAAAGCTTATCACCATTCAAATTAATTATTAAATCCAGAGCATCTTCATTCTCCAATTTTAAGGCCGGCGGCCTTTCAGGAGGGGTCAACGCGCTTCAGCAACGAACTTTATTATAAAATGAGAAAAAAATGTCAAATAAGGCCATATTTAGGATGCTCTGTCCGGCCGACGCCATTTGGGGCGGTTCCTGATGGAATTTTTTGATGATTTTTTTTAGAATCTTATTCATTACGTCTAGCTTACTCATATCAAATTTGAACTGAAACTTCAATCGGGAAGGCATTCAAATGAATTCTTGAAGATAACTGCTCTTTTAACTGCATAGTTATCTTCAAGAATTCATTTGTATGCCTTCACGCTTGAAGTTTCAGTTCAAATTTGATATGAGTAAACTAGACTTAATGAATAAGATTTCCAAAAAAATTAATCAAAAAATTCCACCGGGAACTGCCCAAAATGGCGTCGACCGGACAAAGCATCCTAAATATGGCCTTATTTGACATTTTTTTCAAGTTTGAGGCCCTATAGGACCCTTATCCCTAATTAAAATGAATAATACTAAAGGTACCCCAAAATTGTACCCCATTTTTACCCCACCCTATTGTGTGGCCATAAATGGGGCAACTCATTTAAGTGGAGCACCACTTAAATGAGTTGTCTCATTTATGGCCACACAATTAGGGGTGAGGTAAAAATGGGGTACAATTTTAGAGTACCTTTAACATAGCTCAATTAAAATCATTATCAAAAGTTTATAATTATTGACAAAAAAAGTCGATATAACAAACCTTTTTTGGAACGGAGTAGTAATAATCATACTTAAAGATTTTACTTTATTTTAAACTTATTAACGAGAATTTCTGCTAGCTATAATTATTGTTAAAGTCTCATCACATCACATGCCTTGTACGGTGCCAATAGAAGGATACGGCGAATTCGTTAGATAACCACTGAGCGGTCTGAGCTTAGCAAGTTGTTGGAGAAAAGTTGTATACGAAAATACTCTGGATTTATGGAAGAAGTGATATAGAAATGAAAGAAAGATAGCTTTGTTTAATCTGAAAAATGTAGTTTAGAATCAAATATACAGAATTAGTTTCACATTTCATTCCAGTACGTCTTCCACTTTATCTGTTTTTCGATACTTGATTATTATTTTTTCATCATTTATGATCCTTCCGTCCAACATTGTGATGCATTTCCGGTGATTTTAACCACCAAAAATATCAACAGAATAATCATTACATGGACGAGAACAATAGTCACACACCAAAAGTGGTCAAAAACGTAAATCAAATATGGAATTTGTGCTATAATTGTAGTAACAAATTTAAAATAGTCCGATAAAATTCATTCAAATATATATTGGAAAGGTTTAGTTCTAATCGCGCTAACTACAAGCTAACATATTCCTATGTAAATAAATCTTAATTAATTATCACCCATGGTGATTTAGTATGGTTAACAAATATCAGACTCAGAGTAGGAGTAATTAGAACAACGTACTATATATATGCAGTACTACAAATATATTTTCAAGGACAAACATGTTGGAAACAACAAGATCGTGCTAATATGAGAGAAAAACACTTCTATTACTTTCAAGAATAGAAAGAAGAGACATATAAGCTCTAACTAAAAACTCTCAAAAACACCTGACACATCTCTCAAGGATATTCACAACACAAACTTGGTTGTGCTATGATGATCTATTCTAATTTACTTGATGATAGAAAGACTCTCCAAGCTCTCTATTTATAGCACCAAAACTAGGTACTATGAAGGTGGAAG